ACGTCTCTGTAGTCCAGACTACAAGTACAAGTGTTACTTTACGTCCCTGTAGTCCAGACTACAAGTGCAAGTGTTACTTTACGTCTCTGTAGTCCAGACTACAAGTACAAGTGTTACTTTACGTCTCTGTAGTCCAGACTACAAGTACAAGTGTTACTTTACGTCTTTGTAAACCAGGTTGGTTGGTTATTTGGTGTTTTATGGCGCAAAGCACCGAGGCTATCTGCGCCAAACAACCGGTAAAAACATTAAAAGTATAATTGTAGTAAAATGTAAAAATAAATTGAGTTAAAACCAAAATATGTTCAAAATACAGAAAAAAAGACTTAAAAAGACCAACTGTTCTTCAAAAATAAAAATACAACTCAAGTTGGACAGTGTCACCATCGCCAATGATACCCTCCAATGTCAGGGGTAAACCTTTATAAAACATATGTCTAAAATGGTGCCGCCGATCACGGTCGTAACGACGGCACGACAGTAAAATGTGGGCTATTGTGACTTGAGTGTCACAAAGGCAACACATTGATGGATCAGTATCAGATAAAAGAAAACGACGAGTTAAAAAACTGTGACCAATGCGTAGCCTTGCCAGGACAACCTCCTCCTTACGGAAACATGATGGCCACAGAGCAACAGAGGGTTTGATCTGGAAAAGTTTGCTATAACGTTGCCCACCTCAAAGCGACTGCTAACTGGCGAGAAACCGTGTCTTGAATACACTCCGTAGTCCATGTATGGTACAGGCACGGCCATGACGGCGCCAGAGCAGACGTACTTAGCTGCAGTGTCAGCGAGCTTGTTCCCGCGAATACCGACGTGGCCAGGTATCCAGAAAACTGGACGGAAACAGAAGATAGAGAAAAATGGGCCAGTCGTTGTTGAATATCGACAAGAACAGGGTGAAAACTAACGTTAAGCTGTTCCAGGGCCAGTAGAGAGCTAAGAGAATCAGTGTAAATAGTACAATCGCTGTACTGCATAGCTTCTACATGATCCAGCGCAAGAGAAATAACATACAACTCGGCAGTGACCACAGAAACTGTAGAGG